TTATTACAGATTCGAAAGTGTTGAAAGGTATGATGAAGGATATATCAGTGTGTCACTCTGCATCCATCGGATGAAATTGTCATTAAAGCGTGAGCCCACACAACGCATTATGGTGGCCTGGAAGAATGGTCCGATGCCGCTCTTGTAAAGGATATGAAGAGATTCTTTGGTTATTCTAAGTGTTGACTTTGAAATTCGATTTCAGGTAAGCGAAGTGTATTTCAGTGCTGACTATGGAAGAAAAAACGACTTATTTTTTTCCATCTATACATAAGATGATTCAATTCCCTCGCAGTTACTCCAAATGTTACTATTACAGGGTGCGCCAAAATTACTTGCTCAATTTTTGCCCTTGTAAGAACTGTAAAACAATAAATTGAGGGCTCGTTTTCTAATAGAAGTTTACGAATGAAATGCCATTACCAACCCGGCTTCACACTTCAAAGCGTCTCTTTCGGACCGAGCTTTAGCCTTTAGTTGTGAGGAGAGGTCGTCCACTGTGGCGCGTAGGTGCTCCAAACAAATTTCTTCCTAAACGTAGAGCAGGTTCGTTATCTGGGCTGCGCTGGGTGGTGTTGTTACGAGCAGGCCTTGCTCTCTAAAAAGCTCAACACGAAATATTCCACTCCGTTGAAGTAAGTACTTTTGATTGACGGTAATTGAGCGCTGGTGAGACCTGGGCTGGTGTTCTCGCGTGCTGCGATGTCACCTTCGATCTACCAACTAGTGCTGCACCCTGCAGAAACACGAGCGGTATGGATTCACTGTGGGATTCCGTCCAGGAAGTGAGACGTTAGTCGGCACACCTTCCAGGTACCCTCTGCTTTAGTTAGAATATCCTCTTTGATGAAAAACAAGTGGGGACACGACTTCATGGCTAATCGCAAACTAAACCATGATTTTGTTGCCTTTCCGTAACATTCACGAATTCTCCATCTGTCATCAGCTTCCACCTTCCCTAGGTAATGTGCTCCATCATTTTGAAGTTCTCCACCGGAGTATCTTCATGGATGAAGCATGGAGTGAAGCATTTTGGCAGCTACTAGTACAAAGTGATACCTTTTTCTCAGCAATATGACAGCTTGAGGGATAGCTTTTTTCTAGCTTCTTGACTATGTTTGTTAGCGACCTCGTCGGATTGGGCCGCACCATATCTCGTACCACTTTAACATTTTTCGTGGAGGTTGCAGCTGGTGGTGTCCACCATTCTCAGTATTTCATAGCTTCGGAGTCCTTTTATCATTTGATGACAAACTCCACAGTTATGCCACGCACTAGCAGCATTTGGCTGTTGTTTTCGCACTGGATGCGCATTCAGCTGAGTGGTCATGGCTCAGGTGAATAAAGTCCAACCATTCTGAAAAACGTGGGCGCTGAGAAGTGGGATTTGAAGCACTGATAGAGGACGTGGTAACCAAAAGGCTGATCACCAATTGCTCGCTTATCGCTTACAAGTTTCAACGGAACAACCGCTGTGAACTTTGAGCAAGTAGTTGTTGGCGCACCCTGTAGTTTAGCTCCTAGGGACATAGGCTTGCGGGCGACACTTAGCGTTTATATACGCGAAAGGAGTAGCCGCATTACTGCCCGGAAAGAAATTGGTGAGCTAGAATAACAAAACACTCACTATCATTTTCTGAGATATCGGTTCCTTTGTCATGGTGATGAAAGCTAGAAAAACATCTGAGAAGTCTGATTGTCGCCCTCGCAAAACGCTAAATGATGTACGTAAAGAATCAAATCGCAATAGTTTGTTTATTCGGCTGTTTGGTGAAAATGGAGTTGGAGGGGCCATTCCATTCTGCTCTGCAGCTTTAATGATAAGGAACAAAAAGGCTCAGAATATCTCTAGCGGCACACTCAAGAACTTTGATAACACGCTCATTGAAAGTAACCTCTTAATAGCAACCAGTAAAATGCTCTAATCGTCAATCCACTTTCTGTTCAGTTTTAGGCGTTCACCCACTGTGGAGCCCCCCGCCACCCTATCCTCTCCCTCTGAACTAGGCAGAAATATCCGGTTCTTGGCCCGGGGACAGTTCTCCACGCCATTCTAGGCTAATTTAGCCGGTCTCATCGACAAGTTGCTTTGAATGGGAGTTAAATTAAAGCACTTTCCCTTCGCCTAACCAACGTCCCTATCTTTGTTCCTATTATTAGAGCGGCAGAGGGAAATGCGGGTGGCCGCTTCAACCTCAATTTTCACCATTTATTTCTGATCTAATTCAGCAGCTCCAATTCAACGAAACTGAAAGTCATAGATCGTACAAGAAGACGTCAGTACGCTTCTGATCCTATGATAAACGCGGATTTCAAACTCACTAGTCATTGAATGAGCGGATTTTGGCAGCGACTGTTCCTAGGAAAGCACGGTAGGTCTCTAGTTCAAAATTTCTTCCCATCGGCGTTCCTCCTGGCGCAGGATCATGGAGAAAAGGCTGCAAGTGGTATATGAGCTGCTCACTTCTTCGCATCTGTATTTATCGATCAAATGAAGCAAGCAGACACTCATCTGCATAGTTACACATAAAATAAATCACTCATATACAAACTTATGAAAAATTGTGTTTGATCGAACAATGAAAATTTATGCAGTTGAGTGGTAGTCTAGAGTAAGTAGGTCTTGCACGGTGAAGGCCAAAGCAGGTGTCAGACTGCGGTCACTCGCTTGGGAATCGCGCGATTCGATAGCGTTATTTCTCAAAGTCCGACATCCTGGCCGAAATTTCTTAAACTGGAACTATGACTATGTCGTTTCCAGAAAACCTTTCGGAATTCTTAGATATTCCCGAAATCATCAGCGAAACCTTTAGCGGAAAACGCCGAGTTCTTTACTGCACTTCAGTGGGATTTCTGCTATTTACATGGACAGCCCACCACTAGTTCAGCACAAGAAGAGGTGCAGCAGACACAAGAAGAGGTGGAAGAGACAGCGCATTCGCACTAAAGCAGCAGTCCGAGCAGGGTTTCAACCATTCGATTCTGAGAGGTGGAAAGATTGACTACCCCTAGTCAAGTACATGGGAAGTGTCACTTATTTAAAAACTCACCTTTGGAAGCCGTTGGGAGGGCCTTTCCGCCCACTTGCCGGTTGTGGAGAGCGCGATTGGTTGTGGAGGCATTTGGTGCTGCAGTTTTTTGACTTTTTTTTTACAGACGGACGCACTTTCATCCCCATAGAGAAGGAAATCTTCGAATGATCGCTATATCTTCCGAATTACTTTTCAGGAGCATGCTTCGTTCGACGTATTGGCAGGTTCAGACAACTCGTCCAACACGCGTCTTCCTCCATTGCTAAGTGGCAGAGGGGGAGTCCCTGTCTAAGTCCCTGTTCGACGTTTTTCTTTCATTATTGGTCAACTTTTCACCTACAACTTCATTATCGGTGGTTTTTGCCCGCGAATTCGTTCTTGGATTGTTGCTTCAAATTATTATAATAGCGCGCGCAGTTTTTTCAGCTTCCTGGACTCGTGCTCTTTGCCAAGGAGGTAATGCGCTAGATGGGTGGGTACGCCGATTTTCAGAATACGGTAGATACGAAATGTTTGAAGGGACTGCTATGACTTCTTGAGACGCTGTGAGAATCGATAGAGTAAGCCTTGAGACGAAGTACATAGTCTCCCTCCCTCTATGGTTTGGTCTATCGATCGTAAGTTTGTATTCTGACAATCCATCAACTAACAGCATTACAGTACAAAAAGCAGCAAGGGATTTGTGATAGTCGATTCCTACAGCGCCTCGTGACGTCACGGCGGTCTTCACCAGTCTCCGCGTACATTTCGCGCCTACCGTAATAAATAAAATTGGCCATCGTGCCCACTCGACTCACATAGATAGCACTATCTAGGACGCAGCTCTCTACAGCTGCTTGGGCGCTGTGGACATGAAACTCAGCTAAATGCACATCACGAACAGAGAGATTTGGTCCGAGCGAGAATAATAATGAACAGATTCTATTTGCGCTGCTCTGCTTTCGTGTATACATTGGATGCAGTACAGTATATAAATTGAATTATTTTTGTATATATTTTTATTTCTGAGCTTTAATGTTTATCACAACTAAGACGACATATTTGGTGAGAGAATGATTTGGAAAAAGGTTAACTTACTAAGTAATATGGATGTGACTTGTAGGGAGGGGTGCTGGATTCAGGATAAGATTTTTGCCGTCGCAACTGATCAATCTGAATTTGTTTTTGCATTTACAGTAGCGGTCAAAAGTGTTCGCTGAAACGACGTTTAATGATTATTTTTTCTCGCTAGCAACGCTTTCCAAAGATTGATATACTATGTTTTCTAGTGTTTTTATATCCTCAAGTCTTAAAGAATCAGGATATTCAAAAGAAAAAATTTTCGAGGCACCATTTTTTTCTGGCAAAAAAAGAAGCACGAAAAACCGTTTCGGCGAACACTTTTGACCGCTACTGTATGTCCTATTTTGGGAAAGAATCGTTCTTTTTCGATTGATCTCCACGATAAGGAAAATTCGATCACCTCGATGTTCTTCCTTGTGAGCTCATCTTGAAGTCGAACAACTCGCTGAAGCAGATGGTTACCCACCGAGCCTCGTGCGTTGGGGGGCAGCCTGAGCCCTAAAGCTGCCATCTCGTTCCGAACTTTCAATGCAGAGTCTCTTAGACAGAATAAAATTTTATTCATAAACCTTTCTGATGGTAAGTTAAAGGAATCCTTGCGCGGAAAATTCTTGCACTCTTTCCTAACATGAATATGTCAGTTGTGATCACTGGAAATAGCACACAAAGTTTCACGCATGAAGATTCGGTTTCTGAAGAGAAACAAACGTACAAAAACTACACGTTATGGACCATCGAAGGACCAGGAGGCAGAGCCAGGCGAGGCATGGAAAGAAGACGGCGTTTGGCCGGCTACGTACCAGGCGACGCAATGAGAGAATCGGGTTAAAGCGCGCGATTTCGGAGAGTGGAGACAAATCGATCGATGGAATAGGATGGAGTAGAAGTGTAAGATGTGAATAAGGCAGATAAATGATTTTTTCGCGAAGGCTTCCTTTAACATAATTTAAACTTAAACCTATTCATAACTTAGTGAATCTCGTCCTTTCGAAATTTTTTGTGAAGAACGTTTTGGATAGATTGCTGCACAAAAAAATGTTGGGGTTTTTTCTGATCTCTCCCGTCATCGCCATAAATGGCCGCTGAAGCAAGTGTATACCGTAAGCGAGGAGCTTCGAATCTGCTATTTTCTACTGCTTAAACTGATGTGGCTGAAATCTAGTCAAAGCAAAAGCACTTCCAAATGTGAGATTGCGATTCCTCCTTAAAGTTCAAATACCGTCAAAACATGAAAGTCTTTCGTACGTACCTACCCCCTGCTCGAAAGAATGAACACAAAACTTGAGGACTGAAAGAAGAATGCTCCGGTGTTGGAAGATTTCAGGAAGGCATATAGGGGAGTTTTGCGGCGCCGTATTTGACTTTGTCCACCCCCCCCCCCTTTACCATTTCCTCCCCAGACTCGAAATATGGTGCTTGTGAAAAAGTACCGAGGAATGGAGTTCGGAGTTTTTTTTACATCGTACTCTTGAAGCGCTCGTACTTCTTCATCTTATTTTACTCCATAGCAATGTGGGTTTGCACCCTTCTGGGAACAGAGCCAATTTAGCGCCGGTAAAATTGCAACCAATAGCCAATTTCCGTAATTGTTTTGTATAGTTCGTTAGCTATCTTCTTTCGACAAGAGATGCTCTCTTTAATGAATTCGCTAATTACGATTAACTAAAAATGAAGTAATATCAATCCACTAATTATCTCACAGCCATTATATATGACTTTTCGCTGTTCTAATTGTAACTTCCCCAGAACAGTCGTGCACAGCACCCCAGCTTATGAACAGCCGTACCTGACGACACGGTCGATAGAGAGTTGATGGAGTTTGTCTCAATAGAAGATGACGGCGATGCACGGCGATCATCTCCACGATCATCTGAATGGCAACTTTTACTTCAGTGTTGAATGGACGCAAACGCAATAACGCGAAAGAATATTTTCAAATCGGGTCGAGTGCTAAAAGGGGATTCCTCATACGACCCCACTCTAGACGCCTATTCCAACGGTCGATGTCATCATCGTCATCCTGATTGCATACGTTCGACTTGACAGACTCAACACCTCGTCGCACCTTCCCGCGTTCACGCTACGCCTCCCTGAATTTCAACGAACTTGCATAGCCAGACGATATTTATTAGAAGGGTAACTTGTAGCGGGGCGGGGTTGTGGGAGGGACATTGAAGTCTACATCGAGTTGAAAAAGCACTTTTCACCGGTAGTTTCACAGATTTTCCTTTTCGTGCTCTTCTAGCAAGGATTTTCACCGCTTCTGAAAATCATCCTATCTCTCCCAATATAATACATACGTCTCCTCTTCCTTCCATTGCGATCCCTCCAAACCCCCAAAACCGCCCCGTCCGTTTAGAAAATTATCTTTTGTAGCGCACTCACCAACCGATGGCTAACTCTGTTTTGAGGTAATAGCATTTTAATGTATATTATTTCACTGATCTATTCAAAAAGAGTGACCCACCGAAATTTCTTTCCGGAATTCATTGTGTGATCCAGGCACCGAGATACATCTCTATTTTCATGTGGCACGAGTAGTACGCGTGCAGTCTACTAGACGTCTTCAAGTTATTATAGTAATTAGGAAGTACGCAATACATATCCACGATTTCTCACCAAGCTTCTTTTCAGCAGTATTAGCAGCTGTCCGCTTTGACTTGATCAGAGCTGTTCCAGGTCGATCAGCACCAGTCTTGGACTTCTTGACCGACAAATGCTTCTGAAATATGCAGTGATCGATTGCAGGCAATAAAGTGCATGGTTAGTAGCCTCCTAGGATGCTTTCATTAGCAGAGTTACACACTGGCACGATAAGTCATAAATTCAAACAACGTTCGAAAGGATAAAGCATTTGCCGTTGATCAATCCCTTTTGGGATGCGGCACGCATTCTACTTCCATTTGTACATTCGTAGTGGCGTTTGAATGCGATGTGGCCTATACAATGACTTGCGGGGGCCAGCCGATGTACAAGTCAGTGTTTTTATCCTCCCAGACAAGTCTGGTACCAATTAACCGGAGGATGGAAGGCTTGGTTGGCCCGGGCGACTCACGACCCAGGATTTGATCCCCGGACCGCTCGCGTGGTAAGCGTGCCACTTGCCACTACACCACTTCCGCCCTATCATGAACAGCTCACGAAGTATTTCGGCGACTACTTCACATCAGACGCCGCTAGCTCGCTTTGTAAGGACCTAGCACTACTGTCGCTGTTTGGAGCCTGGACGGGACATTTTACCATGAATAGTGGGGTCACTTGCTACCCTAATCTTGGCTGAGAAGGCTTTGGCTCCACATTGTACTCATCTTGAACATGGATTCACACAAGCACGCCTTTTCACAGCTGCAGAATCTTTGGTTCGGCTTGCTAGTAGGCAAGTTACCATTTTGACTAGTGGACAAGTTACCATTTTGACGCTGGTGCGAACTCATAGTCGTAAGTAAGCCACTACGCCAACGCAAGCTGATTGAAAGCATGGGTAGCCGGGGCGCAACTAGTGTCGCACTTGCCCGGTAAGCAAAAGGTTCGAGTCCCGTCTGGGGCAAAAATTTTGTTCACAACCCAGCATTCTGGTGAAATAATTAATAAAACTTATAAAGAATAAAATAATGAGTAAAGTATGTCATAAAAATTTTATGCAAAGGAAATATTCACCTTTACTCCTAAAACTGGAAACATTGCAGTTTTGGAGTTGTCCTTTTCAGGAGCTTCTTCGATAGCATTGCTTACCTGAATTGGTTGTTCAAAACAGCTGCGATTCAGGAGAAACTGCACAAAACTCACATTTCCATTTAACGGAATAAGGCTCCGTTTTTCGAACACAAACGGCTGAGCTCGTCCAATTCGTACAAGATCACCATTATGCAATTCCACCTATAAATTACTTCTCTGCAAACACTCCGTATATATTTTCTTCCTCACCGAGGGCTACCGTGTAAACTGCTTTCTATTTGTTTTCAGGCATAATTATTAAGAATGGCATGGTAATGTTCTAAGGTTGTTTTAGTTCCAGAAGTGATTGCGAATGTCTAAAGATTCTAATCTCATATTCACGAACCAAGAAAGTCAAGGTGCTGGGGCTTTTAGATAATTTTTCACTAAAAAATGCAGCCATCTACGATCCCTGGCGAAGAGCCACCTCAAGCGAATGTTGGAACACAGCAAGTTCTAGGATTTTTGGGAAAATCTCCTATTGTTGCTGACCGTTTTTCTTCTGGAGTAGAAAAGAGTGTCTTGACTCGTTCTGTCCTGCTATCCGACTCTAGATTGAATCTACACCACGTTTCTTCCCCAGCCAGGCTTTCCACCCTTCAGATTCCAAGG